ACACACACACACACACACACACACAACTACATACAAACATACACACACGCACGAAGGCATACCGGCACACAGCCACCAACAAAAAGTACCTACCAGTGCTGATTTGCAGTTCTCCACACTACGTTCATGTATGCGGAACATTTCCACCACGCTGACCTTCTCGGGGTCCGCCTGTCTGTACTCTACCCGAGGCACCAGATCCATACCCAGTTTGCTGAAGCAATACAAAGTACAAATAATATGAGTACATGATGTACACTTATATTTGGTCACTTTTAAGGACAAGCGGGCTAACCCAGGTTTCGAGGGTTTTCAGAAATCTTGACCAACATCTAAAGTGGGCATTGCCCTACCTCTAGAAGAAGTTTGGTTTCATTGATGTGTTATATTTGTTTGATTATATAGAAAACTCTTCCTTGTCTTTTAAAGAAACTGAACAAGGGGCCAAAACTTCGATTTTCTCAAAACACCATTTTTCGGGATAGCCCCCTAGTGCTTAAAAGCGACCATTTGAGATACGACGCGGTGGAATCAGGCACTCGTCCATTTTTGGACATGTCGAGTTGCTGGTAACCTCTAAGTTTGTTCATTTGTCTTGCTTTCAATGTTTAAAAATAACTTTCTATCTTGAATAGAAGTCGAGATATTTGCGATTGAAAGAGGTGGGGGGTTTCCTGGCTCTTGCGGAAAAATTAGCGAGAAGTAGGCAACCACAGTTTGGCGACTTCCAAAGATTGAGAGTCTTTGGAAACTGAAAGTTTACATTTTGGGTGTCTTTAATCAAATGGGTTTTTTTTTGTAAAATCCACACAGAACTGGACATAAAATGGTGATGAGCCCAAAAATAAAATAATTGATAACAATTGCCTAAACTGCGGGAAAATGCCTGTTTTCTTAGATTACATTTATTTTGATGAGCGCCCGATGTCACCACTATGCCTTATAATATATTATTCTTTTAAAGAAATTTTAAAAAACTGCCAAAGTCGTTGAAGAAGGCCACCCATTGTCAAAAAGAAAATTAGTCATCTTAGGCAGGCGACTGTTGGCGTGTCTGGGTGCTTGCATATTTATGTATGCATGTGTGTGTGGCGCGCGCGTGTGTGTGTATGTGTGTGTGTGTGTGTGTGTGTGTGTGTGTATGTGTGTGT